GTTCAATGATAGTTTTGCACGGGTATTCACTGTTGAGGACACTCAGGATGTTCTTTCGGTCACTACCCATAGTTCATGACCATAGGTGAGGGTAGGAACGTAGATCGACTGGTAAATCAAGAGCTTTGCCAACAGAACCACATCATCTGCAAAAAGCAGAGTCCTAATTCTGAGGTTACCAAACCGGACACCCTCAACGCCCTGGCTGCGCCTAGAAATTTTGTCCATAAACGCTATGATCAGAATCGGTGACAAAAGGCAGCCCTGACGGAGTCCAATCGTCACCGGAAATGAGTCCGACTTATTGCCGCCCATGCAGACCAAGCTGACATCGGTCATACAGGGACCGGACAGCCCTTATAAGGAAGCCTGGCACCCCATACTCCCAGAGCACTCCCCACAGGACTTCCCGAGGGGACATGGTCGAATGCCTTCTCCAAATCCACAAAACACATGTAGACTGGTTGGGCAAACTCACATGAACTCTCCAAGACCCTGCTCTAGATTATAGAGCTGGTCCACTGTTCCATGGCCAGGGCGAAAACCACACTGCTTCTCCTGAATCTGAGGTCTGACAATCCAATGGACCCTCCTCTCCAGAACCCCCAAATAGACCTTACCAGGGAGGCTGAGGAGTATGATCCCCCTATAGTCGGAGCACACCCTCCGGGTCCCCCTTCTTGAAGAGGGGGACCACCACCCTGGTCTGCCAGTCCATAGGCACCGCCCCCGATGTCCACGCGATGTTGCAGATACGTGTCAACCAGGACAGCCCCACAGCATCCAGAGCCTTAAGGAACTCCTGGCGGATGTCATCCACCCCCGGGGCCTGGCCACTGAGGAGCTTTTTAATTACCTCAGCGACCTCCGCCCCAGAGATAGGGGAGTCCACCCCCTAGTTCCCATACTCTGCTTCCACATTGGAAGGCATGTCGGTGGGATTGAGGAGGTCTTCGAAGTATTCCCTCCACCGACCCAAAACGTCCCTAGTTGAGGTCAGCAGCGCCCCATCCCCACCACAAACAGTGTTGATGTTGCACCACTTTCCCGCCCTAAGACGCCGGATAGTGGACCAGAATCTCCTCAAAGCCGCCTGGAAGTCATTTTCCATAGCCTTGCCAAACTCCTCCCACACCCGAATTTTTGCCTCGGTGACCGCTGAAGCCGCATTCTGCTTGGCCCGCCGGTACCTGTCAGCTGCCTCTGGAGTCCCACAGGCCAAAAAGGCCCAATAGGACTCCTTCTTCAGCTTGACAGCATCCCTCACCACCGGTGTCCATCAGCGGGTTCAGGGATTGCCACCACGACAGGCACCGACCACCGTACGGCCACAGCTCCGGTCAGCCGCCTCCACAATGGAGGCATGGAACAAGGCCCATTCAAACTCAATGTCCCCCACCTCCCCTGGGACATGGGAGAGAAGCTCTGCCGGAGGTAGGAGTTGAAGCTCCTCCTGACAGGGGATTCCGCCAGACTTTCCCAGCAGACCCTCACTATATGCTTGGGCCTGCCAGGCCTGACCAGCTTCCTCTCCCACCAGCGGAGCCATCCCACCACCAGGTAGTGATCAGTTGACAGCTCCACCCCTCTCTTCACCCGAGTGTCCAAGACATGCGGCCGCAAGTCCGACGACACGATTACAAAGTCGATCATCGAACTGCGGCCTAGGGTGTCCTGGTGCCAAGTGTACATATGAACACCCTTATGTCTGAACATGGAGTTCATTATGGACAATCCGTGACGAGCACAGAAATCCAACAACAAAACACCACTCGGATTCAATCAGGGGGGCCGTTCCTCCCAATCACGCCACTCCAGGTCTCACTGTCATTGCCCATGTGGGCATTGAAGTCCCCCAGTTGAACAAGACAGTCCCCAGGAGGAGTGCTCTCCAACACCCCTTCCAAGGACTCCAAAATGGGTAGGTATTCTGAACTGCCGCTCGGCGCATGAGCGCAAACAACAGTCAGGACCTGTCCCTCCACCCGAAGGTGAACGGAGGCTACCCTCTCATCCACTGCAGTAAACCCCAATATGCAGGCACCCAAGCAGGGGGCAATTAGTATGCCCACCCCTGCCTGGCACCTCTCCCCGCAAGCAACTCCAGAATGGAAGAGTGTCCAACCCCCCTCGAGGAGACTGGTTCCAGAGCCCAAGCCATGCGTCAAGGTGAGCCCGACTATATCTAGTCGGAACTTCACCACCTCGCGCACCAGCTCATGCTCCTTCCCCATCAGAGAGGTGACATTCCATGTCCCTAGAGCTAGTTTCTGCAGCCGAGGATCAGACCGCCAGGGTCCCTGCCTTTAGCCACTGCCCAACTCACATCACACCCGACCCCTATGGCCCGTTCAACACGTGGTGAGCCCATTGGAGGGGGGACCCATGTGCCTTGTTTAGGCTGTGCCTGACCAGGCCCCATGGGTGCAGGCCTGGCCACCAGGCGCTCGCCATCGAGCCCCATCCCCAGGCCTGGCTCCGGGGGGGAACCGTGGATCCAATATTTTTCTCATCATTAGGGGTCTCTTTGGAGTCCGTTTCATGGTAAAAACTTTCAGTGATGATGATCAGTGATTCTCTGTATGTTGTGTCAGATTTCAAGTGGGACTTATGGCTTAAACTCAAACCCATTTTCTGAAATACCCCCCAATGTTCCTCAAACTGAAAGTCGGTGCTGACCAATTCTCTGTAATTTCTTGAAATCAGATTTAAGTCAGGATCTGATCTGGAACTTTACAAATTTACAAAAATGTAAAATATGACTAAAATTATTCATGTAATTTTCACATTGTCATGACCCCCTCGTGAGAACAGCGCCTCGTTAAACAGTGGCTGTACCTGATGCTGGCCCTTTAAAGACCAGGGGCCTCATGAATAAACGGTGCTTACGCACGAAAATGTTGCGCACGCCCGTTTCCACGCTCACGTCGAGATGTATAAAAACTAAACTTGGCGTACCGCCAC